GCATTATGTGGTTTTGGTTGGGGGGGGGGGGGGTCTTTTTTCTGACGCTGTTCTACATAAGAATAAGAAAACAACTGGATTTGCTCTATCTCACTGCTCTACCTGCCTGTTCACCCCCCGCCCCCAGGCCTCCTTGAACATGAAATTTCACTTCTCTACTTTACACCAGAACTCATGTCTCTTCCTGACTCTTCCAGATCAAATGTGCGCTATAAATAACATCAGGCCAGAGAAAAGGGATAGAGGGCACAGCTAAGTAATGAGCACTGTTATAAGTCATTAAAGACTGTTGTATAATTAATGTAGCATATGGTGAGACACCTGCTTCAGTGACTCAGTGGTGTTACAGACCTCCTATAAGGTTTAAAAATCTTTTCAATTAAGAGATAGGAGGAATTGGTGTCAACTATCTGTGTGAAGTTCATCTCAATTAAAGACATTTGAGTTTACTCTATCTTGCCTCTGCTATAGCACCTGTTGTTTAACCTGTTAATTAATTTACACTTGCCTTCAAAGTTCCCAAAGCACAACTGCGAATTACAACATTTATTTTTGAACATTAATATGCGAGATTACATCTGCATTATTCATAAGTGTGAAATGAATACTCTGCCATTAATGAGCATAATGAGTTTTAATCAGTGTTACTCATACAGAATCCAAACCCATATATTTTTAGATGTCACCTGTTTTTGGAGTGAGAAGTAGATCATCTAAATCCTATATATGCAAAACACATGCAGCCAAAGCTATAGATGATACTCTAGAAACTGGTTTGTATTGATGAGAAATGGAAAGCAAGTTTACTGGAGACAATGATAAATACAAATGGAGGCAAAGCCAGTAATGATCCGTCACGGAACTCTCATCATGATTGGCTCTGATCTCAGAATACTCAAAGCAGCAATTATAAAGATAACTTATACTACATATTGGAAGCCTACATAACGATGATGGAGGAGACCAGGGTAGTGGATGGTAAGAGTACATAAGGAGTGGTGTATGCAGGATCAGTGCATGCCACCTCGTGGCCATATATGACAGATGGATGACAGCACTGGTATGAGACAATGTCCAGCATAACAACAGAGTGGTCTATATCTTGTCACAGTGGTTGAGGTCAGGCTCACTGTGTGTCAGTTGATTTTTGTTCATTTGACTGTGAATTCCTTAGAGAATCTGAAGCATTTAAAGGCAACAACATCTAAGACAAATTCTGGATTATTATTTAATTTAGGATCCAGCTTCTTTATATTGTAGTCACTTATAGACAGGTTCAAAAGGGCTCAACACCAAGCTTTGGCACTAGGCCCCCTAATCATAAAATGAAGTGAGGATGAAGAAGGTGTTTATGTCTGCTCTGTTAAAATTGTGACCAGTAAAGTTTTGTTGTATTTTTATGTAAAGCTGGCTCCCTGTGTGAATACTCAACCTCCATCACAGATTTTGTTATGAAACTGCAATACAATCTGCCTACAAGCCTGAGCTCAAGGGTGCTGTTTCTTAAAATGTAAAAAAATCCTTGGCATTTTTTTGACTTCTCACTACAGTTCCTCCCTTCCCGAAGATGTTGTCAAGCTTCCAAACACTTCTGGGCTGTATATCTGTAACAGCCAATCCGACGTGACCGTATGAAGTGTTACTTTAAAATGTCTGCGGCCCAAATCTAGGCCAAACCCACGCACACAAAGTTCCAAGCTCAGAGCAACATTTTGGAGAGGTGGAGCCCAAAATAAACAGCAAATAGGTGCAACACTCTCTCAAGGCCAACATGGAAATGCTTATTCCACACTTATACTAAATGATGTGGGATGCACAGGATGAGCTTCTACTAAAGGTAAAGTTTGCAGAAAAACTAAAGGGCCTTTCACGTCCCTCTTGGCTGTAGTGTATATTTTATGAATCCAATACAATTATCTTGTGAGACAATATTGCTCTTTTAGTAGAGCCATGGAGAACACAGGAGGAATCAATCCTTTCAATACTGGCATGGAAAGTAAACTCAGCGCTTGTAGTGAGAAATGTTCACTTTCATTGTGCAGTTACCTAAAGAAATCTTGCTAAAACCTCTCTTTGACATGCCACTCAGAGTACAGGAAAACTGAGAGGGAATGAGAAAGAAAACATAGACAAACCTCACAGATAGTGAGGCTGGGATTAGTTTTAAGGGAACTTAATGGAGCAAGTGGCTTGTCTAAGACAGAATAAAGACCTAGTATGGAGACAGGTCACAAAGGCAGTTAAAACTGTCACTCACCGCATTAAAATTTTTCAAAAGTAGCTTTTCACTGCTTTAAGAACCACAAACAAAATCAGAATGAAGACTATTTGCACTGGCTAGACACCATTAGGTAGGAAAACCTTTTGTTTAAATACTTTGAGCACACTGAAAATAGACTGACTGCAGAGAGCTTTATCAGATGTACTTGTTCATTGCAGATGTGGACAGGTGTCTCCCACCAGTGGGATAGACTTACCGTATCTTCAGATGATTACAAATAAATGCTGGA